TAACCACACACTCACTTGATCAGAAGACGATCGGACAAACTACGGCTTGTAAAAGTAGTATTCTTTGGTGAAACCGGGAGATCTTCACAAAAACCGGGCTTCTTGCGGGCAGAACTTCGGCTCGCAAACTATTTTTCTCAGGATATTCGGGGCTTCGGGACTTGCTTCGGGTATCGGATTAATACCGGGCCTTCAGGGGTATAAAATGCCAAGAAGAAAAAAGTTTAGGGTGAAGAAGTGTAAAAATTAGCAACAAAAGTCGGAGGCCTCGCTGCCCTTTTATAATGTTTGAACCTCGCACGTACGTTGAGCGTACGAGGCACTACGCGGGGCGTAGTTCGGATCAACCTTTCACGTGTCGAGCTTCAGGTGGTGAATCGTGGCTCTCTCTCGGACTGCATAAGACCGAGGTACGATGTGCGTACTTAAAGGTTACGCGGGGCGCACCCTTCGGATCAGACCGGTAACTCCTCTCTTCGGATAATATCTGAATTTCTTAATTAAATTTAATATTTTAACTACTTAATAAACGTCAAAAATTCATATCTTCTTCATACGAACTCCGTTTTCAACGTTCTTTGTATCCACGCGTAGGTGAGACTAGGCCCTACAACTTTCGTTCAAACTTCGTCGGCTAATTTTGACTTTATTTTTATTATATTATTTTAGTAGGCTGGGATAGGAAAACTCTATTATAAATTCATAACTTCTTCATCTGACGTCCGTTTTTGTCTGTCTTTTACCGTTACACTACTATCAACAAGATCTTCGATTCTCATTTAGATTGTTTCGACTAAAAACCACTCAATCTTAAATCGAGTATTCGGGCTGCATACCGCTAAGTCGAAACTTACAAAAATCATAACTTTCTCATACGAAGTCAGATTCGGACGTTCTTTTTATGCATGCTCATGGTTTAACGAACTCTACTACTTTCGTTTAGATCGATAAGGCTAAATATCACTCTAACGTAAATTCACTTTTTACATCATTCAGCGTCATGTTGGTTCTGTCGCGAAACTTCGACAGGTTATAACTTCTTCGTTATTACTCGGATTTTGGCGTTCTTTATATGTACGGAATCCTTGTAACATATACTACAACTTAGTTAAGATTATTCCTTCAAATTAATCTTCCATCAAAAAGTCATTTTGATGTTTATCGTCTCTAAATTGACTAGCCCTGGTCTATGAGCGTTACAAAATAGTGCATATTATTCTAAGTATAGACCACAACTTTCCGATTAAAAGGAAGAATGGGTGATTGTATTTCAGAGGTTCGAGATTGAGTTAATGAAATCAAGGGGATTAAGGTGAGGATTTACTGGATATTCAATAAGGCGTGTATCAAGGAGCCATAATGATGAAGCGATTTAGCATTAACGAATGGGAGTGTTGTCAATTCATCATTGTTCACTGATCTTAGTGACGACGATGAACAGTAACAGTTGAGATGGAGTATTTTTTATCCTTTTGTTCATAAACACCGATGAAGACCTCATAATAGAATCATTGATGGTCTTTGGCAACAAAGTGTTAATGGAGAAGAGAAAGGGGGATACGGAAGATGATGAGGAGAAGTCGTCATCGATTGAATGAAGAAGAGGGCAAAACCATATGGAAACGTTTAAGTTTTCTTTTGTATTTTTTTAAATTTGTTTTAATTTATATTATTATTATAATTAAGTGACCTCTTATAAGGGGTTAAGGGACGATTTCAACAGGTCACATTCTACTTTATTCCCTTTATGTACCAAAAAAATAATTTAGGCACCTCTTAAAACAAACGTGATAAGTTGGTTGTGCTAATATGACATTTGTCATTGTCTAAAACTATAGTTCAATCAAGTATCGTCATTTATCCGATTTTGTCACTAAAGTATTGTGTTTGCTCAATAGGTCATTAAACTTACAACTTAAATGTTTATCAAGTCACTTTCATTAGAATTTAATAGATCCTCCGTTAACCAGGTATTACAATTTACAAGAATGGTCCATATCGTTTCAATTTCTTTTATGGTTGGTCATTACCAGCATCATTCATCACGTGCACCAGCATTGTTCACTTCCGGCACAAACCAACGTTTACCTCGACTAACCCCCATGATTTTTTTATTTAGAGTTTAGTTTACCGATCGATTTTAAGTGTAAATATGATATATTTGGTAGAAAATTCAACCACTCAAATATCTTAAATCGACCAAAAATATGTTAGGTCACTAAAAAGGGTCATCGTAGAAGTTTGCAAACTACATTTAATATTATTTGGTGAAATAATGCATTAAAAATGATCAGTTTTAATATGGGGTTCTTGTCGCAAATAAAAATGTATATGTTGGTAGCTAGTGGACTGCCTTTACATGGTGTAATAATGTAACGACCCAAAATTCAAGGCCAAAAATTTCATTTTTGAATTAACGCATTTAATAAACATTTTACCAAAACCTTGTTAATAAAACATTCCATTACAAAATCATAATGTTGTATTTCAAACCATAACATCATAAGTATTAACAATCAGAGTACAGTCCCAAAAACTTCCTGCGGAAACATGTGTGTGTGTGTGATGTGCTGCTACACCGCCAACTTTTTCCCCTTCGACGAAGAGGTACCTGAAACCAAAACCAAAACTGTAAGCACAAAGCTTAGTGAGTTCCCTCATCATACCACATACCATACAATATCGTCGGTATCTTTCAACCGGTAACCTTCATCGGTATCTTTCAACCGGTAACCAACATCGATATCTTTCAACCGGTAACTGGGGACTATTTCACCCCTACCACTAGCATACAATCAACAGATATAAGAATACAGTCAGGCATATCCGGGTACTGACCTACCCTTGGGTCCTAAGGACCACTGTCAGGGAAACTAATCCATACCATACACATAACATACTATCCAGATAAACCTCATAACCAACACATAACCATACCAAGATACTTATCACAAATACCATTATCTTTTAAATACCCCTTTTTGGTGGTCCGACATTGTGGCCGTAGACCCACCCCTACTGGAAGGTAATTCACCTCAATATCGTGCAATGTCTGAACTATCCTCGACGCACAAGTCGACTCCCAACGACTCCTTGATCCCTACACGACAACCTTCAAGTCCACACATATCACATACAACCCTAAACAGGGTTAGCCCAAGTTTAGTCAAAGTCAACATTCAGTTGACCTGACTCACCGAGTTGGCCTACCAACTCGTCAAGTCCATGCTTCTCTAATCCCACACAAAACGTCGGATTCACTCGTCGAGTCTAGCAAAAACTCGACGAGTTCTCCTTCAATCATAACATCGGGACCATCTTCATCTGACTCGTCGAGTTCCTTCTTGAACTCGTCGAGTTCATCTCCAACTTAAGAACTTGTCCAGTCTATGACTCGCCGAGTTGTATGAATAACTCGTCGAGTCCATCTTCATAGATTGGGAGATTGCTATGGACTCGCCGAGTCTGCTCATACCACTCGCCGAGTCCCATGACTTCCAGGTCCCTTTTCGCGTCTAAAACCACAAGGGGCTTCCTTCCCAACACTTACCCATTCACCAAAAGGGTTTGGGTGCACAATGGTCACCAATTCGTCGAGTGCCAAGAGCAACTCGCCGAGTCCAACCTTGACCAATTCCATACAGTCGATTTAAATGAGGTATAACACACCAAAACCATAGATCTGGCGTCCTAATGTACATTTTATACATAAAGTTCCAAACTTGATGCACGTGCATGGGGTTTTTAGCTCAAAAATCCATATAAAGTGTCCTACAATGTGCATGGGGCTCTTATGGCCCTAAAGTTGGAACCTTTATGCCATGAGACCCCTCTTAAGCCCCAAATCTGAAGGCTAGAGTCCACATAACACCGCTTAAATCCAAAAATGGCTTGAAACCCCTAAATGCACCCAAGATCTACAATCTAAAGATGAACAACCAAATGGAAGACCAAAGCAGGAGAATTTTACCTTGTTTAAGCTAAAGATGGGATGAGATTTATGGATCCACAAGCCTAAGTCGAATACTCAAGCTCCTTTTCTTCCTTCCAAGCTTCACAAGTCAACAAAAGCTCCAAAACCGCCTTAACACACACACAATCGGCTAGGGTTTCGATTTGCAGCTCTAGGAGAGTGTTAGGGACAAGGGAGGCTGAGTTAAGGTGTTTATATAGGGTGCAAACCCTCATATTATGGTTTTTTTTCCAGACAGAACAAACTCGTCGAGTACGATCTCTAACTCACCGAGTCAGCCAGTTAACTCCCGTGTCCAAACCGCTTCTACTCGACGATTTGGGGCACCAACTCGCCGAGTCTCAGGCCAAAATGCAAAATACTTAATTTAAAAATACGTACTAGGAACCAGGTGTTACAAATCTCCCCCAATTATTTTAGACTTCATCCTCGAAGTCTGTTGCTTGTTCTTGGAAAATCTCTGGGTAAAGCTCCATCATCTCATTCACCAGCTCCCAAGTCCACTCCGAGCCCTTTTGGTGTTGCCACTGCACCTTTACCAGCTCCACTCTCTTGTTCCTCAGATCCTTTGACTTCCTGTCAAGGACCGTCACTGGCCGCTCGATGTAGTTCAGGCTGTCATCAACCTGAATGTCCGCTCGGTATACTATAGTTTGGACTTTTACCCAATAGCCTGGGCAGTATTAAATGTTGAGAACAATAATACTTGGAAGTGGTTCTTGGAAAATCTAATGTAAGACATAGATGAAGGGGGAAATGGTAATGGAATCACATTGATGTTAGATGGACACAAGGTACATATATACACTACTTTTCTTTTACAAAAATTACCTTTTACATAAATTAACATTCCAAATCAATGCAGGGTATAATGGAGGCTGTGAAAGAAAGATGTCCAGAAGTTGAGCATAGGTTGTGTGCTAGGCATATCCTTGCTAACTTCCATAAAAATTTTAAGGGTGAGTGCTAAATTAAACCTTTTTGGAGGGTTGTAAAGGAAGCTACAATTCTAAAATTTGAACTTGCAATGGAAGAAATCAAGAGCTTTGATGTAGGGGCATATGATTATCTCATTAAAAGGGACCCCAACTGTTGGTCAAGGGCTTTTTTTAAGGTTGGAATGGGATGTGATGCAATGGAAAATGGTGTGTTTGAGAGCTTCAATGTTGCTATTGAAGAAGCTAGAAAGAAGCCATTCATCACTATGTTGGAGGACATAAGGGTATTTGTGATGGAGAGATTGTACATGCAGAAAGGGAAAGGATTGGGCTGGGATTTGGCAATTTGTCCAACTATCAAAAGTAAACTTGGTAAAATAAAGAAGTTGAGAAGGTTAATTGCTACAAACACTTTTACTTACTTTTTGTACAAGCTAGTGCTGACTAATTTTTTGAATTGATAGATTATGGGCATCATATGTTAGTGGATACAAGCAGTTTGAAGTTGTGCAATGTAATGAAAGGTATGGTGTTGACTTGGGGAAGAGAGAATGTGGATGCAGAGGTTGGCAATTGACAGGAATTCCTTGTGTACATGCCATATGTGCCATATCTTCCTTGAATCTTGATCCAGAGGAATTTGTTGCAGATTGGTTTACTAAATCTGCATTTCTTAGGGCCTACGAGTACACCATAAATCCCCTGAATGATAGTACCTTGTGGCCCCAAATGCCTGATTTTCACCAGATACTACCTCCAGGAGGAGGTTACCTGGTAGGCCATGTGTGAAAAGAAAAAGTGACCAAGCAGAAAATGAACTCAGTGGGAACATAAGCCATACTATAAGAAGGGCAAGTGTTCAGCATAAATGTACAATTTGTAATGAAACTGGACACAACAAAGCTACATGTCCAATGAGGGGTCCCTTTTGAAGCAGGTCCAAGTAAAGCAAGAAAGAAGAGTAATGCAAGAAACTGTCCTTCACAAGCAGGTCCAAGCACTCCATCTCCAAGTGCTCCAACACATGTCAATCAAGATCCTTTGACTCAAGACCATGTCCCTGTGAATGAAGATCCTGTAAATCAGGAGAATGTGAATGAAGTTCCCATCAATCAAGATCCTATGAATCAGGAGAATGTGAATAAGGAGAATGTGCATGAAGATCCTGTGAATGAAGTACCTATTAACCAAGATCCTGTGATTCCATTACCTGTTAACCAAGTGCCTGTGAATCTTGGTGTTAGAGTGCCTAGGAGACATGGTGTTAGAGCAAGGAAGCCTTCAGAGAGAATCAACAAGATACAAATCAGGAAGCATGTTTTCCGAAAGGATGGCAAAGGAGTGACTGAGGACAACCACGTTACTTTAGATTTAGATTGATTAGGGTTACTTGTTTTCTTTTGCTTTGGAAGTATGTAATAGTACACTATGTATGGTGACTTTCTTTTGTTAATTAGGCCAACTTTTGATGTAATTGAAAATACTACCCTTGCTTGTAACCTAGCAACTTTTTATGGTCTTTAAGTAAATGGAATCGGATATGGTATCCTATGTCAATTGTGTTTTGTCCTTTTCAATCTTTATTGGTATTAATGAATTAGTTTATTAAGAAGGTCATAATGGGAATCATATTTCAGTTGTGTACTGGGAATCATATTCCCTATTTGTTTCTATCAATGTCCTTTGTCTTTTGGTTGTTGAAATTGCAGACAAAATTCAATTATCATTGTCCTTGTCTTTTAGCTGTTGAAATTGTAGCCAAATTCAATGTAAATTACAATCAAATGTTCACCATGTAACACTTCATTCAGTATGCAAACTCCATTCAATACATTTAATATAAACTATTCAGTACATTCCATATAAACCATTCAATCCCTACATTCAAAATACCACAATTCAATACATCATACAAAACTCTATTCAAATTGTTTTCATATAATATTACAACTGATTTCAACCCTATAACTATGTGCTTTATTCTTCAACTCTTGAACTTCTTTCTTCAAACATGCAACATCCACTTTAACTGCTTCAAGTTCTTGTTTTAAATTCGGATTCCCAGTCACAGGTTCATCAATCCATTCCCAATACTTACACTTCTTACCTGGTTTCTTTGAAATCAAATATAAAAATTGTAAGAACCTCAAAATCTTTATTTATTAGAAGGAAAATCAAAAGTACAGAGGGAAATCAAGATCGACATACCAGAGAATTAGGGCAAACTTTGAACATTTTGTTAGGGTTGTCTTTAGTCTTGGATGTGCATATTCAAACTGGGAGTTGACAATCACATAACTCTTCTTTCTTTGTGATGGAACCAGATGAACTGGGAGTCGACATCTTCTTCTTCGATTTTGGGTATGGGTTCGAATGTTTTTTACTGAAGTTAGGGCTAGGCATCATCTTATAATCAACATAAATAAGAGAACGTAGGAGTGTTTTCTTTTAATGAGTGTCCACATAGGTAGCCATGTCAGCAATTATGGAAGCAACCGGTAATAATGACTTAATTTATACAAAACAACAAGTTCAAGGGTAAAATGTAGACAAAAAAAAGTCAGGGACTAAATGTGTACAAAACCAATAATATGTTACCCTTTTAAGTCATTATCCCTAAAGTTAAGATATGTATATTGAAATGGGATGGTCCCTTGAGTTGTTAAAAAAGCATGCGCTCCCGTTATTTTTATCCATGGACGGTCCCTTGATCACAACCATTTGGCCCATTCATCTACAACTATCTTTATTGTATCAAGAACACAAAGCAACCATTGATTACATACATAGATGTGAAATACAAGGGTGTTACCTCCACAGGTACCTTAAGAGTTCTACCACTAGTGGTGTGCTTAAATTTTCATTTGGCGTTGTTCCTTTGGTTACTAGTTTGAGTCTAAATATATATATTTTTTAAAAATAAAAAAATAGTGAGAGGAGTTTCCCACCCATTCCTTAGGTTTTAGGCGAGGGAAAGGGTGGTGTGGCCCACAAAAAGTGAGAGAAACACCCCTCTCATACCCTTCGTTCTTAGGGCTCAAGGCAAGGGTTATAGATTTAGTTACTATAATCTTTTGTATTTTACAATTAAGCCGACTTCGTTTTTGAAGTCAATAAGTAAATACTTTTACATCCATTCAAACTTTTAACCAATAGTACTAAAAAGTAACATTTAACCAACTGTCTATTGACCTACTAGATAAGAATGACATCTACATATGAGATGTTCAATGTTTGAGTCCCGAGGGTTTTAGTTAAAAGTTGATCAGGAGAGAGTATTCGACGTACCTCGGTGTTTTAGCATATAGTCCAAAAAACGACCCCCCTCCACCAATCATCGCAAAGTAGGGAGTCACAGTGTACGGTCAAAAACCCTTTTTTACTAAAAATAACATGCTAACACATAAATGTTGTGCATAGACTTAAAAAAATAAAAATAAAGGCGGATGAAAAGATGTGTTCTCATCATTGAATTGAGGCTCATTCTTTGTCTTGGCTATTTTGATTTAAAAGAACAAACATCACTCTTCATCAAGTCCTATGACCACCAAGAGAGAGTTAAGTTAAAATTTTATCAATGTAAAAGATGATGACATCTGATTTTATCCGGCGGATATTATTAAAACCACATCCTAAAGGAAAAAGACCGGACACAAAAGAAAAACAAAATAAAACTTACAAAATGTCAAAAGGGGAACAAACCCAACATTCCCATCTCCGTCTGATTTTGAATCAAAAACTTTAATGACGGATTCACACCTTACCTGTTGGTGATTTTATATCACTAATGATATTTAAGTGTAATGGGGTTAATTTGTTGATCAATGTCACTTTGACAATTATTGAACAAATCGGTATGGTGTGGAGTGCACATTTGTTTAATTTTGTCTTTGTTGAAAGTATACTGCTATTTAGGGGCGAAACCCCTAAACCGACGGGAGTCCGGGGGCAGCGCCCCTGGGAGCGGGGTCCAAGGGGCCGTAGCCCCTGGCGGGGTCCACCCAAATTCTAGAGCCAATTTTGTACCCAGTTTTGTGATCCATATTCTAGACTCGGATTTAAGATTGTTTATGACCGTTTGTGGACAGTTTTAAGACATAAAACTGTCATGTGATAGTTTTAAGACAGGAAGTTTTTTCTGTTATATGATCATATCGAATATATGGTTGGTACACTTCTTCTTCATAACATTAAAACATTCTCTCTTCTGTTTTCTCTCAATTTTGAGTCTTATCTGATTAAAAATTGGGAGTACCACCAAAATACTTTAATTTGAAAGTGAAAGCCATAATTCTCAGAATTTCCAAGCTTTTTCTATACCCCATTTCTAACATTACCTATTAGGACATAAAGACATATAAGACATTTCATTCAAGTATTCATTACTTCATATGGTTTATATTTTCAAGTGGATTTTACTATGAATTTAGATGCTTGATAATACTTGTATCCTAAACAATAATAACCAAAATTTATAATTTGTAAATTAAAACCTTAGTTTAAAAAAAGTAGCTCCAATGATCTTTATCTTATAAAAATATTAATACCATAAAACAAAGAGAGGTGAATGTATACTTTAACACGGACGAAGGATCAAAAGGTAATTTATTTTGGACTAAACCTGCAGATCATCTAATAGTATAAGGATCAAATTTGTAATTTATTATTTTGCTCCGGAATATATAAACACAAACAAACTACCGAAAATCGGATCCAATTTTAGGGAGCGAGAGTGTGCGTCACTGTCATCGGGTATAGCTCTCATTGTCAGTTCAGATGGCAAATTTGTTGAAGATTGTGAAATTTACCTGTTCCAAAACGCAATTTCGTTCTCAATATTGATTTGAATGTAGTGAACAGGCATCAAACCTTTAAGAATTCGAATTCGCGAAGTTTTTTTTTTCTTTGTAGGTTTTATGATTTAAAGATAGGCAAGGGTCCCGATTCTGCATCTGCATTCCCCTGCGTTCCATGAATTACTGGTAATCTCTTATCCCTTCGTTCATTTCTGCTGTTCGGATCTTCTAATTTCTCACATTCTACCCCTGTTTGATCGCGTTAGTGTTATCCAATTTCAGCTTCAGTCGGTTTGATATATTTGTTTTGCGTTTAATTGATGGATGTGGTTCACGTAGTGAATTGAATTTTGGTTAAATCGCAATGGCAGGATTAGGTCTCATAGCTGTCGATTGAGATGAGAATTTTTAAGAAACAAAAAAAAAATCAAAACGAAGCCTTAAATCATTCATTTAAGGCTTAAATCAATTTGAGAAAAAGTGGATTTCCGTTCGATAAATGTTAAACAGACTTCAAATTTGTTCGTTAACACAGATCTATTTCATCCGATTGACGATTGGTTTACTGCTATGCAAACCTGATTATCAAATTCATTTAGATATATGATTATACAATAATTTCGATGGTTTTTCTTTCAGATTTACAACAAATTGAAGTCATCAACTCAAAGTGGTTCTGTTTGGAGATTGATTGAATCATGTTCAGGCAGTCACCACGTAGAAACGGACGTAACAAAGGGCTAAAAGTGAAACACGTTCTCCAGATCTCATTATTGCTTGGTGTGAGTATATGGCTGCTTTATCAGGTCCACCATTCAGACGACAAGACACCATCAGTCCCATCACATATCACAAACAAGCTACACAATGTAGTTAACAAGGACATGATGAGATTGGGTAGAAAAGATCTTAAACCAAAAGTACAGCAACCAACTGTTCTTCAAGACAAAAAGGAACCCGAAGAACATCAAGTTGATGAAATCAGCAATGAAACTGAACCTGACGATCTTGTTCATGATCACGAGAGTGAAGAACATGAAGATATGAAACATGAGGAAGACCGTGAGAATGAAGAAGAGACTACAGAAACAGAACATGAACTGATAAAGATTAAGAAGACTGAGGTGAACAAAGAAGAAGGAAAACATAGTGATGGTGGTGAAGAAATCAAAGAAAAAGTGAATGAAAAGGCGAACAATGAGCAAAACAAAGTTACTGTTCTTGAGAAGGAAGATGAGAAGAAGATGAATTCAAGCATGAAAGTTGAGAATGTGTCAAGTGAGGTGGGACCCAGTGTGAATATTTCAACACAGACAGTGTCAAAGGAGGAAACTATACAACATATGAACACAAGTCAAGATTCGAATCTGATGCCTTCTGTTGACCTCAAGAATGCAGTATCAGTGAATAGAAACTCAGAAGATTCAATGAATTCGAATGGGGAAGATGAGAACCAAAAGGAACAGGAATCAAATGAGAATGAGAATGAGAATAATGAAGAATCTGAAGTGAAAAATGAGGAAGGTGGTGTTCTAGAAGAAGAGAAAGAAGCTCTTACAGACTTGGGAACATTACCAGAGAGTG